TGATCTGTTCAATACTTATTTTACCCGCTGTATACTACTCTTCACACAACTCTGGAAGGCGTAGGGGGGTGGCGATATTAATATCCAGATCTGCCAACTATGAGCATATGCACGAATACAAAGATAAAGAAGGCCGATACGTCATGACAGTGAGAAAATTAGATGGCAATTTAGTAAGTCTTTTAAATGTTTTATGTTCCACCTGGCAGTGATTGGTCTTTCTACAAATACATATTTGAAACTATGACAACAAAATGCCAGGGTACTGTAGTATGTGGTGGGGATTTTAATATCTGTTTGAACCCAAGACTGGACTCAACTAACAAAAAATTCAGAGTCCAGAACACCCACAAAAAACTTAATACATTACTGAATGAACTAGGAATAGTGGATGTTTGGAGGTAAGTAAACCCAACAGAAAAAATTTACACACATTATTCGTATGCACACAAACTTTACTCTCATATCGATTATTTTTTTATGTTCAAAAAATATCTTCACAGGGCAGAAAAATGCCAAATAGTTCCTTGTACTATTTCAGACCATAACCCTGTTTCTATGATAATACAACTGAATAATAAAATTAAATCTGGCTGCTGGAGACTTAATACAAATATCCTTCATAATTTAAGTATAAGGGGAAAAATAAAAACCGAAATTGATCTATACATGGGAAACAATGATAATAATGAGGTTAATCCTGCAATACTTTGGGATGCACTAAAGGTGGTGATTAGAGGTAGAATTACAGTATATCAATCTCTTCATATGAAAAAAGAATGTGACAACAAAAACTGAAGGCAATGGAGGAAGAGTTGGGGAAATTGAAAAAAGAGCATTCAAAAACCCTAAAAGATACCACAAGAGTTGAGATTACAAAATTTAAAAAAAAGAGATGAATATGGTCAATACATTAGAAATACCAAAAAAGCTCTTGTTCACTAAACTGCAGTATTACGAGGCAGGGGGTAAATCTATGAAACTTTTGTCATATAGACTACYAAAACAGCAAGCAGAAAGAACAATTCATAAAATAAGAAATCCATCAACAAAAATGATAGAAACAGACCTGGAGAAGATACAAAAATGTTTTGAAAACTATTATGGAGAACTATATATGCAAACTGAAGTGGATAATAACCTGGAAATCGATGCATTTCTATCATCAATACACCTGCCAA